GTTTACATTGGAGCCGCAATCAGCAATTTAATTTTGAGACTGAGTGTGCAGCACAGAAACTCTTTTTATCCAAGTTACAGCCAAATCTGACACGCAGAGCACTGCGCAGTCTGAAAACGCGTCTCTGTATGGCAGCAGGAATCCGCCATGCTCTTCCGCCTGCCTAAGCCTGATTCCGCCATCTGCCCAGGTGTAGGCAGGGAACGCTGAGCCATCGGCAGGTCTCAGAGCAATCTCCTCCGATCCCAAGTGGGAACAGAAACATCCAGTCCCATAAAAGCCTTGAAATGCTTTAAAGCCAGAGTTCACGCTGGCAGTACAGCACCAGGAAGCCGTGCTTTAAAATGACGCAGCTTTTTTTCTCTGCTGCTGTTGCTGAATCAGGAATCTCTCTACAGCACGCCACCAACAAAACAGCAAAAAATCTGTGTTAAACTCTCTCTCCCTTATTTTTAAGCCTTCTCAGGTTTTTAAGTGGATTTAGCCCATCACGTCTGGGCGCCATCTGTTGAAATAGGAGCGGCAGGGCTGCGTCCCCGGCACCTGGCCGCCCGCATGGCTAGTTTATACCCAGAAATAATTACACGGAAACCGTATTCTTTCAAACACTGCCTGGCCCGGCTATGTCCAGTTTCTTATTGGCTAGCTCTTACATATTGTTCTAACCCATTTCTAATATTCTGTGTAGCCCATGAGTTGGTTTACCAGAGAGGATCTTAACCTGCGTCTGTCTGGAGCGGGAGAATCATGGCGACTCTTCCTCTAACCTTCTTTCTCCCAGAATTCTCTTCTGTATACTCTGCCTACCTAATTTTCTATCCAATAAAATGGGCCAAGGCAGTTTCTTTATTAGTAAGAAATCATTCCCACATCACTTGGACTTTTTTTTTAATTTTCCATTTATTTTTTTTTCTGCCTTCTCACCCACACGTGTGTGTAGTTTGGGCGTGTGTGTGTGTGTGTGTGTGTGTGTGTATTTTTTCCATGGTGTATGTGTGAAAGTCAGATGACAACTTGCAGGAGTCAGATCTATCCTTCCACTATGTGGCTTCTGAAGATCAAATTCAGGTTGTCAAACTTGGCAACAGGTGTCCTTACTCTCTACAGTAACTCAATAGTCCTCGGACAGGTATTATTATTATGTAAAATTATTTCTAGATCATTTGTTGCCTGGAAAATGATGATTATTAATGGTATAACCATTTATCTAAATAGTTTTCCTTTACTCTGGTAGGAAATATGTCAGTTGATATCTACAAATATCTGTCTAAATTTTGTGAAATCCTTTTTTTTTCTTATGGTTTCTATGATGTCCTGAAGAAATTTTCTGCAACTGATATACTCCTAATTTAGCTGCAAATTATGTGCACTTGCATATTGGTTTATAATGTGCTTACTAAGAGATATTGTTTAATTCTGTAAGATTAGTGATTACTGGACAGAAATTTGAAATCCCTAGAGCAAAGATATTATAAAATACCATGAAAAGCCATTAATGGGATGCACATTTTGGAGAGATAGCTATGGCAAATGACGAAACATTTCTGTATCTGTTGCTCATGGGTTCCAAACTCCATTTCATTATCCAGATATGTCACATCCCATCCTTATTATTCACCTCATCTTTCTAATTGATCCAGTTACATATAGCTACCTTTCTTCACTTCCTAACTATATAATACTGCAATAATCTTTCCAAAATATTATTGTCTTTGTGTTATAAGTTTGATCCTGGAAAATCTTTACTGAGTTTTCAGTGAATAATAACAAATTGAAGAATAAAGAACAAGATGAAGATTTAGATTTTAAATCTTGTCCATGCCACACAGTCCATAGTAAGTAAAATTTTGGAACTTAAGATTCCAGAGTAAAATAAGTTTACAGAAAAAAATTCCAGAGTAAAGAATACTCATATGTAACACTTGCTACATCTGTGGTCTTAGACATCTACTCAATTAACCTTATGATATCTCCTTATCAATGAAATGTGGAAAATATTCCATAATTATAAGGATTTCTTAATTATAAACAACATGACTTTGATTAAGATTTTGCATGTATATTATATGATACAAAATGAAAACACTACTTATCAATTTGATAGTTACTTTATCTGTGCTAGCTCAAATTATAAGCTGAACAATAGAGAGTCAAATGTATGCTATCATAGTTTATCAGGCTAACTAGTGTGAATTAGCCTTTATTAACCAGTTTCTCCTAGTATACTAATAAGATGGTAGATAGTGTCTCAATGGAAGGAAGTCAATAGTATACCTACTTGAAACAATCGTGTAGAGGACTTCATCAGTTTGTAATAAATAAAACAATCATGATGTCAAATCTGAAATAAACTGGAATGTCATTTATTGTCAACTTAATTACTTGGAATTTTGCTACAGTGAAGTAAGCTTCTGGTCATGATCCCACTGGACTCTTGTCATAAGAAAATATATACAATGGGATAGATTGTAAGACATTAATCTTAATGTCAAACAATCTATCAAAAAGTATACATCAGCCATGAATGAAAATCACAATTCACGTAAGTGCTTAGTAATTGGTTATATTAAGAAGTATAGACTCCTTTATTTGGCATTCATAGTGATTTATTTTTTGGCCTCAGCATTTGTGTGTTTAACTTTCTCTCAAATCTTATGAATAAATCCAAATTCTCACATCTTTCCTTGTAATTCAGTATATTTCTTTTATTTAAAATGGCTCAAGATATATTTTAATATTCAAGAGTACATATCTTGATGGAGCAGCAGGGCTGCATTCCCGGCACCCGGCCGCCTGCATGGCTAGCTTATGCCCGAAATAATTACACGGAAACTGTATTCTTTTAAACACTGCCTGGCCCATTATCTATAGCCTCTTACTGGCTAGCTCTTACATATTGTTCTAACCCATTTCTAATATTCTGTGTAGCCCATGAGGTGGCTTACCAGGGAGGATCTTAACCTTCCTCTGTCTGGAATGGGAGAATCATGGCGACTCCTGACTCAGCTTCTTTCTCCCAGCATCCTGTTCTGCTTTCTCCACCTACCTAAGGGTTGGCCTATCAAATGGGCCTAGGCAGTTTCTTTATTAGTAAGAAATCACTCCCACATCATACATATACCTTTTTTTCAATATTTAAGTCACTGACTAGCTTTTTCTTCATCGATCTATGATTCCAGAATGTATGATTCCTTCTTAATAATAGATTATATTTTTGAATGGCAGTCTTTTTTAACCTTACTCATGTGTTTTAATTTCCATAGCTAGACTTGTAAGCATAACAGATATGATCAGCTATTATTTATTCATTTCTTCCTTTATACCACCTACTCTAATGTTAAGCTCATAAAAAGGCATGCATTCATGATACTGAATACAATAATGAAAATCATTCATTTAAATAAACACTTAACACTAATATAATGATAACATATATATTTACCAATTTTGTGGTTGCTTTGAAGGCACAGAAATAAAACAAACATGAAAGTTGCTTTAGGAATAACAGAATATAATTTTTAAAAAATATTAAAAGAGTATGAGAAACAAAAAAGCTATTATAAAAATAGGTTAACACTATCATGTGTAAACTTGATACATCATTGCTATTGACATAAGATATAAAAATCAAGGCTTAAATAGATAAATGTTAGGTACAGCTGACTAGCTATTTGGAGATCTAAGGATAAAATAAAAAGGATAGAAGAAAATAAAAAGAGACATTATGGTAGAACATATGGAATGAAAATAATTTTCAATGATAGAGCTATAAAATTAGGTTTAATGCAAAGGAGAAAGACATTTTCAAATTTAAAAATTTTGGGAACATCAATAGTCCAATTAAATAAAATGGTCTGTCTACAAATTGAACACTAATCAGTGATCACAGTGATGAAGGTTTTTAAACCTAAAAATATGATTATAATATACTATTCAGTGATAGAAACACCATGCACATAGTATTTAATAACAGAATGTAGAAGTAAACGCCCTTTTCTTATGACCTATATTGCTGCCTCTGAAAGTTCACTGGTATATGAGATTTTTGAGCTTCCTTAAGAAATGACTGTTTTATTAATGATCTTCATGGAACTTGCTCATGAGAAGGAAAAGGAAGTGAAAACAAATACTTAGACTGAAAGCAGTGTTAATATGATGTTAACAAGATGTAGAAGATCTATGGTTTCAACTTATCGTGATTCACAGTATTCATATTTAGTTGATTTCTCTGACTATAATGTGATGACTAAATTATCACAGTGAGCAGACTTGGTGACAGTTCTATAATCCCAACCCTGAAGTGCTGACAGAGGAGGCTCCTCACGAGTTCACAGCTGGCCTACCTGCATATGAAGATACTGGTTCAAAGAAAAAAACATTCAAACAAACAAACAAACAAAAACTAGAGAAATGAAAAACAAAAATCAAATGAATCACTGTGGATTATGCTGAATTATTCATGTTAATTCATTGTCTTTGGTACTGTCCAGAATCTTCTCTCTTCTCTCCTCTGCCCTCCTCTCCTCTCTTCTCATTTCCTCTCCTCTCCCCATCTCTTCCCCTCTCTATTTCTTCATGTATACAAATGCAAACATACATATACCTATACATACAGCCAAGGATGAGTTGAAATTCATTATGTAGCTCATGATAACCTTGGGTATAATACACATGCTTTGGCCTTCCAAATAGTAGGATTCCATCAGTATTATACTATTTTTAACTTATAAGCTGAAAAGGAGAGTGCCATAGTTTAAACTACCATAGTTTAGCATGCTAGCTAGCATGAACTAACCTTCATAATCCTGGTTACTACTGACATATTGACAGGATTGTAGTTAAGTGTCTCCATGGAAGGAAGCACACAGTATGTCTACATGAATGACCATGCATGTGGCAACACTTGGCTGTTTGTTATCAATAAAGTGACTATTTGATGTGAGAGAATATTATTTTCTGTTTTCTTTAAAATTTTAACAAAAATTACCCTATGATATTAGTATCCTAGACAGAATTCTTCCAAGATGCTGTGCATGTGCAGACCTTCCCTACTCATTGGCAGAAGTGAGTAAGAATTGATGGTGCCAAGGATCTGCTAGAGGAAAACTACTACCTCTTCAACTCTCAAAGTCTACCATCTCTGGGAACTCAATTAATGACTTCTAATATCTCTCTAAGAAAAATCCATCACTGGCAACTCCAACCTTTCCAATTTCACTTTACAAACACCTGACCATGTAACCTTTGGATTCCTGCTTCTTTCATTAATCTCTGACATACAACACCTTTTTAATCGCCTACTTCTTGAAACCCTATGCTCCCCTCCTCACATCCTTAACAATGTACAGCTCCTGCTTCACTATCCCCCCTACCTACCTACTTGAAAATGGTTTCATCCACTTGCATAATACTGTTACCTCCACTTTTGAAGCACTGTACCCCTTAAAACACCCTGCTAGAAATCCTTGATCACACTGCCTCCAGAATACCCTAAACACCCTCCTGTGGAAATTCTTCCTCTCAAAATTTCCACTTCCTCTAACCCCTGGGTATCTCCTCATATTATTAATTTTCCATCTCAAGAAATATTTGCTCTCCTAGACATCTGTCCTCCAGAATGTCACACACACACACACACACACACACACACACACACACACACACACCTTATAAACCTATACTTCTGGGAAGAACCTTCTGCTCAGTCCATCAGGTCATACATTTTGTAGCACACATGATTCTGAAATCCCTGCCCCCACATAGGGAGCATTCCTTCTACTCTTGTAACTCTTCACCTCACCATGGGTATCTCTATTATCCTTGGGTATCTGAGCTCTTTAAACACTCGAATTTCTCCAGCATGTGGAATTTTGGTCCACACTGCTGAACCCCACCTTCTACTCTTTTATGATATCCGATAAAATGATATGATATACCTCTTATGAAATTACCAAGTCTTACTACTGCCACTAAAACTGAAAAGAAACATTCTTTCTTTGTTTCAGGTTTATAAGCGTGCAGAGTCTGTTTCATTATGTATACTTTGTTTGGTTTTAGTTTTTTTTTTTTTAAATATGATTTCAACATAGTGTCCTTGCTGTCTGGAACTCTCAGTATAACATAGGTGGGCGTAGAACTAGTTATGGGAATGAAGCTGCCATCAAGTGGGTAATCTTCCTGGTGTCCACACTGTGTTCTTGGATTACAGATTTCTGTTATCATGCAGAAATCTAAGATCTATAGTGTCCCACAGGACTCTACAACAGGTGTTCAGTGAACATTATTTGAAAAGTAGATTTTTTTCAAAGCCATTGTTCTTAATCTGTTCGGTATTAGGCTTTTTTTCCATTACTGACAAGTTACTGAGACCCATAAGGGGCATCATTTTATATTGTAAATAGTTTTTCATATATATCATTGCAATTGGAATTTGTGGCTTTAAAACTAAAATACATTTTAAATGCTTGAAAATAGTAATCACAATACTTTTATATGCTAACTAGTTATAATTTTCTTTAAATACCATATTTTTCAAATGAAAATAGTGCCAAGAAAATAGGAGTTTATGTTTTTAATTTTTTAATGCACAACTTAATACTTTTTATATGCCCTTCTACATTTAGTTTTTTTTTTTTGTAAGGTATATTTTAGGCAGAAAAGAATCTTAAAGATACATATATACTTCAACCACATTTTGAGGTTCATTCTTAGATGTGTTACTATTACTAGAAATCTTTATGTTAATAAATTATATGTACATTAAAACTTAAGAACAATATGGAAAATAGAAAATTAATTTACTCCATAAATTAAAGTTTATATCAACTACTCAAACACTCAATATATTTCATAGAAAAGAGAGACAGAATAAATATTCTGGAGGTAGTGTTAGTGTGGACCACTGCATTCTACTCATGATATAGCAGGACATTCTCAAATTCTCAGCAGTTGACTATACATGAGAAGAAAAAATTTGGGCCTTTTGACATTCCATCCAGAAGGGGAGGGGTTCAAGAGGCCCCATGCCCTGAGAACTTGTAGGAAGTTAACAGTTGCTAGGAGAAAATGAAAATTTTTCTGTAGTGGTGTATATCATGGTAAGTTATCCATTTTATAAATAACCCTTAAACCACACTCCTTTAAACAACCCTTACTAAACTGTCTGGGTAACAAAACCAAAATGGCTTGAATATAGAAGGGAACTATTTGAGAAATGGAAGGAAAAAAGAGAGAGTAGAAGGGGGCAAGAGTGTACAATGGGATATGAATTTTGATTGTATTCATAATCAAAATACATAAAATGATTTCATGATTTTCTTTGGGGTCACCTTCTTATTTAGCTTCTTTAGGAAATCAAATTATAGACTCACTGACCTTTATTTATCTCTAGAAACCAATTATGAGTGAGTACATCCCATGTTCATCTTTTTGGGTCTGGGTTACCTCACTCAGGATAGTGTTTTCTATTTCCATCCATTTGCATGCAAAATTCGAGAAGTCATTGTTTTTTACCGCTGAGTAGTATTCTAATGTGTATATATTCCACACTTTCTTCATCCATTCTTCCATTGAAGGA